TATATATGAGTATGAGTGTTTGTGTGAGTGTGTGTGAGTGTGAGTGTGAGTGTGAGAGTGTGTGTGAGAGTGTGAGTGTGTGTGTGTGTGTATATATATATATGAGTATGAGTGTTTGTGTGAGTGTGTGTGAGTGTGAGTGTGAGTGTGAGTGTGTGTGAGTGTGTGTGTGTGTGTGTGAGAGTGTGAGGTGGTGTGTGTGTGTGTTTGTGTGTGTATATATGAGTATGAGTGTTTGTGTGAGTGTGTGTGAGTGTGAGTGCACATTTTCGTTCATATTCACCGTGTCCCAGAATAGCACAGTTGAGCACACTTTAGTTTATCTTAAGAAGTACTAAAGAATTATTTTTGGTATATTAAGTACAAAATTAGTGCATGAAAATACATTATGGAAGTGCAGTTTTTTCCACCTGGGTTCCTAATAAAGGAGTTTGTCCACTGGAATGAGCGCTGTAAACAGTGTTATTATCAGGAGCATTCGAGCCGGTTATCTGTGAGGACAGAAGCAGGTCAGACGTGTCCAGACTCGCTCAGAAGAGCAGAATAAATAATAACCTGCTTCCTGACGAACTGAACAAACAACCCAGAAAACCCCCGACTGCTCTGCTCTGCTCTGAAGAATCAATCTGAGAGCTTTAATCAGTAACGAGCTCCAGCGCTCAGGGAATGGAAAATGAAATGAAGCGAACACAAGCGGCTCATTTACATCGACTGCTCGTCGGAAACTAACAAAACTTTAAAAACAACAAAGAACACCAGCAAAAAAACACCCGTTTCTTTGTATCTATTTTTTTGTGTTCCACAAAAATAAATACAAATAATTATAGTTAAAATAAATAAATAAATAAATAACCTAAACATTCTTAAAACTAAAGAATAAATTCTTTTAATGATTACTTAGAATAAAATAATATAATAACTGAAAATAATTAATAATAATGACTAAACCATTTCATTTATTAAATAAAATATTCTATCTATCAAACTTTAGTGTGTTTTGTTCCTGAAATCTATATAAACGTTGGCTGGTATTTTGCTTTAAAAATATGTTTAAACGATTCACTTGAGAATAACTGTATATTATTATATTCATATAATATAAGTAAAAATACTTTTTCTCTTGTTTAAAACATAAATCGTAGTTTTGTGCTGCACAAATTATTCTTTTACACAACATATAAATGTGTCAGCATTTTTTGTTTTCCATTAATATGTATCTCCAAGATGGATTTAATAATAAATATCACCAGTTTTGTATCTTAAGTTAAATATAAATTAAATAAAAAATATTGTTTTCTTGTTTGAAGCATAAAACTGTCAAAACTTAGTGAGCTTTGTGCTTCTAAGGAACGAAAAACTAATTTTATAGCAGATTTATTCTCAAAAAACAGAATTATTATTTTACACAGCATTGCTTTTTGCATTTTAACATGATTATTTTTATGAAAATTAAACATACGTAAGGTTTTTCATTTCTGAAATTTATAGAATACATTTCTGAAATTTTCGTGATAATGTTTGTTGTTCTTCCTTTGTGGCAATTTTATATTTTTTATATCTCAACAATATTTCTATAAAAAAAAAAAAAAGTATAACCAGTTAAGTAAAATAAATTTATATTTATATTTACATATATATGATTTTATTTTAATGTATATGTATATAGTATGAAAGTCTAAACATATGCTATCAAATATATAAAGTTTTATATATAT